GACTCAGTTATACCCTTACAAACATGATTGTTCTCCTAGAGTTATTTCAGAAGAACTAGTTTTATTTTCTGTTTCTCACAACTTGCTTTTGATAAACTCTCAGATGTCCTATCCAGATACACAGATTATAGACTATGGCAGTCATTTTGATTTCTCAAAGCCCTTTCTAATCTGACTCTACCGTTTTATTCTAATTAGCCTTCTATGGTGTTTATAAAAATGGTTTTTTTCTTCAGCCAAATGTGAATGTACCTGATAATTTTAAAGTTTATTTAAATTTTTTTTTCCTTCCCCCTCTAAGTGATAGTGTTAGTTAATTATAAGATCAGCCTTCAAGAAGTGTAGAAAGCATTTTGAAATTAGTGGAATCCCTTCTTTTTCTCTTTTGGTAATTTTATATCATTATAAATAAACCTACAGGATATTTTTGAGAAATTAATATTGTTTTTAGAAATGATTGCCCAACCACATAGATTTAAGTGTGTAGGAGAATATGAAAGAACGTTGAATATTTGGTAAGTAAAATACTTTTTTTGTGTGATTTTATTTCCCCGTTTATGCCTTCACTTAATAATATGCCTTGTTTTCTGTAACTTTTATACCTCCTTTTTATTTTCTTAAATGAAAATATTTCCTTCGTAAACTTTGATGGGTTGGCAGTTTCCTCATTAAAAGATTTTTCACATTTGCAAATTGGGTCTTGGAGTGAAGCCCTGATACCAGCTTCAACTCTGAAGTCCCTACCGTGATGGTACAAGGGCAGGAAAGAGCTGCTGGGGAGAGCCAGAGCTCTCTGGAAAATGCATCACTGGTAGGCTCTACTAATCTGAACACATTTTTGAAGAGGAAGCTTTCTTGCCAGCCTCACTGGAACCTCGACTCAGTCCCTAAGTAACACATGCTGGTCAAATGTTGGGTTTGGGTCTTTGTGAAATAGAGCAAGCAACTTGTATAGTCTTGCGATGCCGTCTACACTACAGAACCCAGGCTTTGGAAACACTTGGTGTTGGAAACACTTAGAGACTGAAAACCTACTACAGATCTTGGACTCAGAGACAAGTCCAGAAAGGGTCTTGTCCATTGTGCCCCATATGTACATTGGTTCCACTCAGTCATAAGTGCATACTTTTACCTCTTTTGATGATTTCCAAAGAAGGAAGGTTTCCATTTGTGATGTTAAAGAGAGGCTTCTTGTGTGTGCATCTAATGAATTTGTGTATGCATCGGCCTGTTACACAGACTGGAGCTTTTTGTAGTTTTCTTCTTCTCTTTCTGTCAAGCAACATCTGGGAATTTGGGTGTGCAGACCAATCCCGGCTGCCTGTAATGCTAAATCTTGAATAAGTCCTATCCCTTGTCACTGGAGAAAGTATTACTAAATCAGCACCACTAGGTAATTTTGGTGCACGTGTGCACATGTGTTCTATTTCCTATTTTTGATTATGAAAGTGGTGTCTACTCATTTTAAAAGTTTATAAAATATAAAAAAGAAGAAAATCCTTTTGTAATCTTTCCGTCTACAACAGCCTCAGTTAACATTATGAAATGAGTGTTTACTATGCATATTATATTTTATAGAGTTGAAATCAGACTGCTTACAAATGTTCATTTATTTAAAATATTCACACTTTCTTATGCTGTTAACATTTTTTGTATATCTAAACAATTGACTCTAAGAGAACAACCGTGTTTTTAAGCGTATATTGAATCCAAACATTGCAAGAGATCTGTTTTATGCATTTTTTGAAATTCATAAATAACACCAATAAAAATTGCTGTGGCTAACATTCTGTTAATTAGTCATCTCAGTTTCATTTAAGTGAAAGACTTAAATATTTGCCTGTAAACAAATTTGCAGTGCAAGCTCACTAACTCATCACTGAATGGTAGCTGAATAAATTCTCCTGTTTTGTCCTGGGTATGTAACAGTGTTTCTTAACTTTTGTTTGGTCACCAGCCCTCTGAGAGTTCAGTGAAAGCTAGGAAGCTTCTTCCCAGAGAACTGTATATTCACACAGAAAACTAATTGTAATGATAATCAATTATGATATGCCAGGCCCTCTGCCAACTGCTCTATGTGTGTTATTTCATTTAATCCTCATGGTAGCACTATAAAGAATGCACTGTTTTCTTCATTTTTGAGAAAAAGACATTGAAGCTTTAAGGAGATTAAGTAATTTGCCTATGCCCGTAGACCTAGTATCCGAGCTCAAATTCTGATATTTATGACCTCAAAACCCGTCTCTTCAATCATTGTGCACCAAATTTTAGGGAGCCCATACATTCCTAAAACCTGCTTATTGGTACTCATATTAATAAGGCCACGTTACCTATTGCAATCTAAAGATTTTCATTGGCAGTGAAGAGGATGTATGATTAATGAATCTCGCTGTTTTTGTAACTTATTTAATTAATATATGAGTATTTGTTGAATATCTAGTATTTTAAATACTTGTTAGGTTCAGTGATATGGTCCTTATCCCTAAAGAGTTTACTATCTACATGAGAAGACAAGGATTGTATATGTAAAACAATGAGGAAAAAATACAAACATGAAGTTGAATATACAGTAATGAGACATTTCCATAAACTATATGTGAAAACGAATCTCTTTACTCTGTCATACTTTGAAGCAATTATCACTCTTTGATTCCCTGATTTATAAAAGGAAAAGCAAATCTAAAAGGCCACCATGTCCTCTGGGAACCTGGAAGATTCAGTGTGTCATAAAAATGAGGTCTATAAAGTGAGACTCTCGGTTTCCTGAGTGGTTTTGTCTGTGTCATCTGTCAGCCCCAGGGAGCATGCTCAACAAGGAGAGGTGAGAATGTGTAGGCAGCTCTCAAGCATTTCAACCTTGTGTCACAGGGTAATTCTATTGAGTTGGACATGTGTAGGTAAGCAGAACACCTTGACAGTTGCTATATTTTGACTCAAGAAAGGTTCCTACTGACAGAGAGGACTTTAGTACGTCAAGTGATGAAACATAGCCTTGAGTCATGCAGGAGCAGTGGGGGGAAACTAGCAACTTTGGATGAAACCATCAGGCATGGGAAGCCTATTGAAGCCGACCACTGACAATCAAGGCAGTCAAAAAGAGTGGCTGTGGCTATAATTCAAAGAACTGCTTTCTGTAGGAGCACAGTATGGGCGAGTTGTACATCTGACTTGAGCAGCTGCTGCGTATACAAGGTTAGCACAGATAATGGCTGTTGTAAGATATGAAGGATGGAGTATGTCAGGCTTTCCATTAACATGGCCCTCTTCAAGTATTTGTACAGTTGTAGGATTCTACTCTTTTGAAACTTGAATCATTTGGCCTATAATATGATGGAATTAATTTGCAAATAGCATTTGAGTTTTCTTTTCCTCGCAAATAGAAACCCAGTGCTGCTAATCATCCTATCTATAGTTTATCTCCTTTCACTTACAGTAGTTATTTTTTTGAAATATCTAAAATAATATTTTGTGTACAGTTGTAGAAATACGTGTGCTATATTTTGTTTAACAAATTTTGTTAAATTTCATTTCATGTGATGTTTCCATAATCCCTTTCAATTTTGTTTAGCATTATTTTTTTAAGTGGGGCAAGGATGTTATGAAAACCTATTCTGTCTAAGAAGCCCCAGATGGAAAATATTTTTTAAAAACAGGGATTCCCATAGTTGTTCACAAATCATCATTTAAATCTGTCCAGCTACTGGATGTTGGAAGTAATTTTCCAGGCATTTATGCAGGTATCTTGATGGATTTTATTTAATTTCAAAAAAAAAGTATGATACTAAGTCTGTATAATTTCTTAAATTCGTTCCTGGAATAAAACGTAATTGAAAACATTCCTTTTCATATTTGCTTTGAGCCAATACTGGAGTTGTTTTTGAGGTAAATGGTAGATTGATGTTAAATGTCCATCACACTTTGGCTTTATAGAGAGAATTCAAGACATAGTAACTGTCCAACTCTTGAATTTTCTCATTCTCTGTGTGTGGTGTGTGTGGTATGGGTGTGTGTGTAGGGAGCTTAAACAAGACCTTTTGATTTCATAATAAGCAGGGCTTAGGGACGATAAAACTTGACATTCTTAACTATTACTAGTGTCTGTCCCTATAGCCCGTGCAGTTATCTTCTTGTTAACGATGTAGAAGCCAGAGTCATAAACTGAGCATGGACCCAAGGCGCTACTGTAAATTGCAAATAGCATTCATGTGGTGTCTTTGACCTAAGACTAAATTGGGGTAGAGGGAAGAGAAAAAAAAGAGTTTTCGAGAGTGGAATAGAAGTAGAAGTCAAGGACAAAGAGTACACTAGTAGGATGGATATGTGCAAATGTTCCGTAAGCTTTTGCCATGAGATTTGTTTAGGTAGGCTTTTCATATCTGCAAGTACTCCTTTGCTCAGGAGCCAAGCAGTGGGTTGGGACAGCTTCTGCGTGTGTGTGTGTGTGTGTGTGTGTGTGTGTGTGTGTGTGTTGGCAATAATGCAGTCATGAGATAATACAAATAATCAGTGAGGGAATAATTAATGATGTGGCAGGGAATATTTTTTGATAAATGCTTGGGGAATGAGGTGACAGGCGTGAAATTAGAAAATTCCTTCAGCGATCTAAAATATAAATAGCTTTCGGAACTGAAAAGAGTTTCACAGCTGAAGATTTTATTGTGTTGAGAGGAAAAACTTTTTTCTCTCCCCCACTCCCTCCTCCTTTGCAAGTTGTTTGTCCATTCACAAAACAAATACTCTGAAGCCCAGCGCGGCTCATGGGAATAAATTTCAGGTCGAATTAGTACAGTTTCCTTGCTGTCAGGATGCTGGAATTAATGGTGTTTTGATGACACGAATTTTGAAGGGCAAACAAAGAAGCTGAAGGGAGAGAGACATGACTCCTTAGAAGCTTGGTCCTCCTCTCCCCCAGCCTCTCTTGTCTTCCCTGTCATCCGTCTGCCAATCTCCCTGTCCATGGTTAGTTAAAGGCGCTTTTTATCCTCTTTTCTTTCCCACAGAGTTTGCCAGATCCGGCCCGGTGCCTGGGTTCCAGGAGGACACGCTGCAGTTGGCCTTCATCGACTTGAGACAAGTAAGTCTTTGTGTTTTTGTTTTTTGTTTTTCTTTTAAGATGTGTGACTGAAGACCATCAGGTCTTAAGGAAAAGGGGAGGGGAGGGGGATTGGCGTTGGCGATTCACACTGGAGACCTAAGGGTTTTTCCCTGTGTTTGAGGCCACCTCTTTTATTTAGCTATCTGGGATCCTTAGCTATGGTGGAGTTAAAGGTTTTGTGGGTAGAAGGGAAGGCAGGAGGTGGGAGGAGGGACCCAGAGCGTAGAGGGACTCAAGTGACCCTCAAGTGATGTGACCCATTGTGCTATAGTTGGCTTCTGCAGACACAGCAGAAAGATAACTCCGCAGACCAATGCTAAGCAGGTGCACTGATGCAGAGACAGCCTGCCTGGGGACTTTTGTTTGTAGATAATGAGGGCAGCAGCATTTAAGAAAAATGAAATATTTTACATTCTGGATGGTTGGTTTGGCTTGTTGACTTTTTCCCTGCTGCCTTCAGTCTTCCCATCCCCTCCTTTGTAGAATGTGGTCAGCCAAGAGTGACTAAGTGGTGGTTTTAGAAGATGATTAGCAAAGGCCCTGACCAGTCATGCTAACCTGACAGGCAACCCTGTTAAAGTAGTGTTGATGAAAGCCAGTCGTCAGGCATACCTGAGCTTTGCAAGCCCATCAGTTAGAAAGAGTCATTCTCTAGGACTGTTGCTTGCAGATCAAAATGGGCAGGTTGGTAGGCCTTGGTGGTTTGGGTAGAGAGGAACAGGATGGGCGGGGGCCGAAAGAGGGAGAGAGTTAACCGGGCTCTGTCATCTCTTCACTCTGAAGATGGATGGCGTTGGATAGAAAGTGTGAATGAAGTAAGAATCAATGACTGATGCTTCTCTCCTATTAAAACAATCTTTTTTTTTTTTGTCTGTTTTAAAAAGGGGGCTGGCTTTGTTTCTCCTGCCATAATGATGCAGTGCCTCTTGTTTTCAGAGCTGACATAGTTTGCATTCTGAAAACTTTTAGATGCCCAGAGTATTTCTTAAAGCTATAGGACCCCTTGTATTGGTAGTCTCCTTACCACTGTGACTCGATTCATGCTGGAACAGCTTTTAACCCATAATGGATGGCCTGAGCTACCCCTGAATCCTTGTGGATGGGTGGTGTAATCTGTCATCTGATGACAATTCTGGAAAGCCCTGTTAAGCAGAAAACAGAAAATTGTGTCTCTATAGACCCGCCAAAGTTTGAGGATTCAAGCCGCGTCCCAGAAACGTGTGTCAACTTAATATTTGGGGGCCGAGGTGGGGGTTCTCGTACACATAAAGGCTTTCCCAGCATGGTCACAAATGGAGCTGAGTATCTCTTTCCACACTTATGACCTTCCACCTGTGGATTCAGCAACTCAACTGAGACATTCAGGTTTTAACCCCTTGGCTGATGTGAGACTGGGAGATTGGGATTTTGCCTTAGGGTTTTGTGGAGTGCTATCTGTTGGAATTTTCTCCCTTGTTTCTTCTCAGAAACTTCTGAGCCAATTGGCTTTTCTTGGAAAGCAGAAACTGAATTTCATTGGAGAGCCACATCCAAGGAAAAAATTTTTCCTTTCTCACTATTCATGAGAAGGAAGTGTGGTCATTCTCTCTAGTTTGTGGTTTTTGGTCCCTATGGAAAGCAACTGGTGTTCACAGAAAATGTTAACTAAGGGAGTAAGTTAGAAAACACAGCCAAATAAGGTGGATCTGAGCCGGGGACGAATGCTCAAGTATTTGTGGGCTCTCAGTGAGCACTGGTGTTTATGCTTAAGTTCCTACTTGCTGTTACATTTCTGTTCTCAGACTTCCTTTTATGATATTTTAGCAGGAGAAACCAAAACTCCTAAATTTTACTAAGAACGAGAGTATGTCTCTTCCTATTGAATCAATCACCTAATTTCTAGTTGTGTCTGTCTCTGTTAAAACAATAACTTTCCTAACCTAGACCATTTGAAAAACTTCCCCAGCTCTCAGGCTGTAGCTTTTTATTAGCAGCCCCCAGGTAGGTGGAATCATTGTGAGAAAAATTATCCCTCCCTGTTCTCTTCTGAAAATATTGATCTCTTTGCAGTCCATCTTCATTGTTCTCACAACTTGTTTAAAATGAGCATCTTTTTAAAAGGGGACTTCTTCTGAACTATGGAGATGTTCAAACTATCAGGAGAAAACCTGGGAGTATGTTTCCAAAGGAGATATCTGGACCTCAAATGAAGCATGATTAAGTGCCTTTGAGTATGTTGTCCTTCTGCATGTTTCCTTCGGAATCCCGTAATAGAATTATGGAATTTGGGGGTTGGGGCTCATTTGAAAAATCATGCAGGATAACCTTTGACTTGATACTTGAAACCATGTGTAGCACCCAGACTGTGCCTGTGTATCCTCCTTGAAGAAAACTCGCCACCCCAAGACAGCAAGGGCCTCCTTATGACAACCTGATTATTAGAAAGATGTTTCTTTTTTTTTTTAATTTTTTTTAATGTTTTATTTATTTTTGAGACAGTGAGAGACAGAGCATGAACAGGGGAGGGTCAGAGAGAGGGAGACACAGAATCTGAAACAGGCTCCAGGCTCTGAGCTGTCAGCACAGAGCCCGATGCGGGGCTCGAACTTACGGACCGAGAGATCATGACCTGAGCCGACGTCGGCCGCTCAACCGACTGAGCCACCCAGGCGCCCCTAGAAAGATATTTCTTAAGTTGGCTAAAATCTGTCTCGCTGAACTCTGACCCTCTGGTTCTTTATGTTTTTATTAATGCATCACAATTTCGGGGACAGGCTTCCTCTCCTGATTTATTGAGCATCCTCTCTGCTAGCAATTGAGTCTTTATCACATGTATAGCATTGAGACCCACTCCACAAGGAGTCCTCACACATGCAATTTTACGGAACAGATTGGAGACTCTACTCTCTTCGGTCTATGTGTTTCTTTCACATTGTTAACAACACAGATTTTTATCATTCTAACCGGTCTAAACCTCATTAGATCCTGATTCAGTTTTCTAGCTTAGTGACTGACTTAATCATCATGTTCTTTCTGAGTCTGACGTAACAATATTAAGCAGGCATGGCAGAAGTTAAAGGAAGAAGTTAAAGTTAGGGCAAGTTCTGGGGTGTGCACCCATGCAAAGCACCACGGTTACAGTGCAGCAAGGGTGTTCTTTTACTGTCATTGACTGTATCTGCCTCACTGCTTTATGAGCATGTTCATTCTGATCGTACTTTTGTGTTGCCTTGCTTTAGAGTGTTTCAGACACTGTCAAGTGAATAATTTTAAAATAATCAAAACACAGAATATTTGATGAGATCATCTCTGCATAGAGTGTAATAGCACAGTGTCATTTAAAAGCTATAGAAATTCAATTAGGACTCAATTTAGATACGGATAGCAAAACGATTCATCCTTTCCCACCTGTCCTGTCTATTCTCAGTCTCCTACTTCTTAAGGAAAAGAGTGAAATGACATCTTGACTACACAAGCTTTCATGATATTTTATATGCGTACAGCACTTCATAGTTAATGTACATTTATGTGCAAATCTCATTTGTCAGACTGCTAGGCTTAGAAAACCTGCTGTTAATGATAATGTGAATTAGACAGTGCAAATCAAAATCTCCTTTGCCACTAAATGTCCCAAGTCCATAAAAGGAGGATTGCAGTATGACTTCACATTCATGTGTTCAAATATGTGTGTGAATCGCTATCAAAGTCCAACTTCGGGTTAATGTTAGATCTTGACAAGGACAACTTAAAGGGCCCACTTATTAGCTATCCTGAAGTGGCATATGCACTCCAAGTACTAGTAGCTGCCAGCCCTTAATGTTTCATCATTGGGAATTACCATACAAGGTCCATAGCGGATTCTCAGTAGTGACTGGATTCTCTACCAGTACTCTGGTTTGTGTTTTTCTTCTTTTCTTAAGCATTCAGTAGATAATACTAATGTATATTAGAATTTGAACTTCCTTTGATTTTCATTTCAGCTTATTTTGTCAAACTCTGAGTGTCTACCGTGAACAGAGCACAACCCCGGTGCTGTGGGAATACAGAAGTGAATATCATACAGTCTCTGACCTCCAGGAGCAGAGAAGTGATCAGCAAATACTTAATTTTAATATAAGTCAGTCTGTAGTGAGCATTACATTGGAAGGATGAAGCTACTACATATGTTTCAATTATTTCGTTGTGTTTTGCTGCGTAACAAAGCACCCAAAATGCCTTGTCTTAAAAGAAGAATCATTTATTTAACTCAGGTTTCTACAGATGAGCAATTAGGATAGGTTCTGTGGGCTCACACCTTGAGGTCAGGTACTAGATTCACTAGGAACTGCCTGGTCTAGGGCGTCTTAGCTAGACTGACTCTTCTCTGCTCCATGTGGTCTCTCATTCACCAGCAGCCTAACCCACGCGTAATCACGTGGCGTATTGGTAGGTTTTAAGAGAGCAAGGGGAAATATGCAAGCCCCCTAAGGTCTACACTTGGAACTGGCAAGCCATCGTTCCCACCACATCTTATGGGCTAGAGCTGGTCACAGGGCCAGCCCAAAATCAAAGAGCGGGGAAATCAACTTCAGTTTATCCTCCGGTTGGGATATAAGATCTTTATACAAACTATGCATCTATAATTGCAGAAAGAGGCCATGGAGTGGAGAGGTCTTTGGGAGCCTAAGTAGTTATAAAATACTGCATTAAAATAGTGGAAAGTTCAACTGATAGAAACCAGGCATTGGTGAGGGAGGAAAGTGTTTTAAGCATAGAGAATAGCCAGTTTTAAGTTTTGTTTAAAAACATATATGGAGTTGTTTTAACTAGGATCTAGACTATCTTTCCTTTTTTTTAAGTCTTAGACTAATCTTTTTAAAACCCCATTTCTTACTTTCTCTTCTTCGTTTCTTACTTTTACTATTCAGCTTCCTCATGGACCTGTTTTTTTGTTTGTTTGGTTGGTTGGTTTTGTTTATGTCTTCTCCTTCTCAGCAAACACTGCTTATTGTAGGCTACCC